GTGGAGTGCAAAGAAGCTAAATTGGGAAAAAATTTAAGTATTAAGAAGGCATTACTTTGGAAAATGACTGCTGTCTCTGAGACTGTCACTCTTTTTGCGTAAATTTGTTTCGTCAGCAGTACGCTAAAATCTTCATTGTTTTAAACTTCGGTGAAATTTTATTCCCTCAGAGAAAAAGGATAATAGTATTTTCAGTCGGACCTTAGCCGCGGCTATCCGAGTTCAGGTACCGCAGTGGTGCGACCTCCATGCGGCGGTCTAGCTTATGGCATTGGCACACCAATACATTTTATGGCCCGAGCTGGAGTTCCACCTCCTGGCATTGGCCAGCATGATTTGTGTCATTTCTGTCAAGGTCGTGGTATCCGGGAATGTTCTCACTGTAAGGGACATGGCAAGAAGCCTTGTTCAGCATGTGGTGGAAGTGGTAGCATGCGAACGTATATCAAACTCCGTGTACAGTTGTAAGCTATTCAGTTCACTTTTTCATACGTGTGTCATCACGTTCCCCAGATTTACGAGCAACAGTTGCCATTTGCGAAGTAGAGACAAAGTTGAAGTGTCAAATTCGCAAAGAGTTATTTTTGCAGTGCGGTTGAACGTAGCGATTATTATGGCCAGTGCGATATACCAGAGAAATTGTTATCGAAAGTTGGAGGGCAGGTTATCTTAAGCGAATGCCAACCTTACGTATGTCTTCCTCACTTTAGCTTTCTTGAATTCTTTCAGACAAGACTTTCGAAGCAAAAAATTGTTTTCCAGGTTCTACCATTGAAGAAGTATCCAGTCCAAGAAATTAATGAAGTGAGTCGACAAATGTGTGCAGCGCACTTCGAAAAATGCATCGGTCGATGTCGCATTATCAAAGTGTGTCTTTCAGACGTATTCAAGCATGCAAATAGATGATTAATTTGTGAAATGTGCAACAAAATTATTGATATAAGTCAGAGCAAAAAATCTCGACGTATTTGCTCTCTGTGGGAGTAGAAGCACTTGGGGAATAGTTTAGGAAGCACCTGCTGGCAAACCTCTTCATGGATTCTGCCTTTCGAACATTATTCGGAATTAAATGGATGGTGGGTGGCGGATTTGACCCTCTGGCATATGCCTGTGTCAGCTTATCATCGAGAACGATGAATGAATTGTAGAGAGTCTGACTGTCTCAATAGCGAACTCAGATCTTCGGAGCTACTGCATGAAATCAGTGTCACTTCCCACTGCGTCAAATCACCAGCGTCAATACAAGAATGTGGGAATAGCTTAGCTGAAACGTAAATCAGATGATTAATTGGGATACTATGCACCTTAGATAACAACTCATAAGCAGTTAGTTATTTGACTGAAATGCAACTATCACAAGCTGGCTTTGTAGCAGCGGCACTGTCTGGAAGCAGTACCGGTCGCAAAAGTGCATTATTGTCTCGGATCGCGTGAAGGTACGTTCTGGATCTATGGTGTTGAGCACTACTGCTACGTGCCGCATTATCCATCGAAGTGCACTCTTTTATGAAATCACACAGTGTTGTTATTGCCAGTTAATCAGGACCCTCTCCTAAGTGCTCATCATGTCATTTTTTGCTGTGTGCAATAAATACGTGATGTGCACTGGAAGCGCCTCATAATGCAGCAAAATCTAACAAATTCTGGTTGCTGCTAAAATTCGTATCGACTTGGTTAAGCTCAGAGGCGAGGAGGGGGTATGGTGACTGAGGACGGGGAAGGAGGATGGCGGGGAGGGGCGGAGGCAGGGAGAGGAGAGGAGGGAGTGGGTGGTGATTTAAATTTCAGGGGTCGTGCCAGAGAGGGGGAGACGGGTTATTGATTGGGAAAGACCTTGGATGGAGGTAAGAAATGAAAGAAAAGCAGAGGGAAGGGGAGGTGGAATGTAAACTTATGTTGCGCCTTTAGCTACACACGTTGAGTCCGGGTTTCATTTGAACGATAAACCAAATAACCAAACGACTGCCATGGGTTAAAGAGCTTGGGGTCTTCGAGTTCTTCGGAGATGCTGACT